TTGGATGGGCGCCAACCACTGGTGAATAGTAGTATAGGGAGTTTACGCATGTAAGACGGCGGCGTCAGGACGACGGCTAAACAAACTACTTGAAATAAATGATTGTATGGAAATATTGTCTTGTATTTACTTTCGTATAAATTTAACACAGTTTAGAACGAGTAAAACAGAGCTTTAACCTTCAGAGCAATTTTGATCAACTCTGCTAAAAAAATTGCCTGTCACGGCTTGAAATGCTAGCGTACTCTATACAAGACGTGATAATATGCATTTTACCGTCGTCAACAGAGCCTGGACGACGTCTAAAACTATACTTTTAATTATTCGTTCTTTTGTGCCACAGGATTAATGACATTGTATTGATAGCCGTCATCCTGACGTTGCCGTCTTACATGCGTAAACTCCCTATAGTACCTTCCAACGTGAACACGGATTGAAAGTAACTTGACTTTTGTATAGCAGAATGTCCATGTAGACAGATATCTGCAACAGAGCACACAAAAGCAAAACAGATCCAAACTATTTCACATTGGCAAGCATGCTTATAATTGGTCCCGATAGTTGCACAAAGTAAAAAATTAGGTATATTATAGGCCATACAGCTGGACAGAGAGAAATATTCAGCTTATAGAGTGCGCAAATATGTTTTATTAGATTTGACAAGTTGTATTTGCATGTCTATGCAAAATGCATGCTTTTTGTCTTAGCGGTTGTATGAATAAAGAATAGACATATATAGGCTACTGGCTCCCAATAAAAGGCTTTAACTTGAAAGCTAGCATGGTTTTTACTTTTGTCCAGACCTGAGTGGGGTCCTATCACTGCAATTAAGAAAAGGTCAATTTTCCGTCACGTTAATAACACTAATCAGGCCACCTGACACAGCGCGTTACGTTATGAAGGAAAGTTTTTTTATTCGGCTGCATGTGACACAAGATCTCCTTGAAAAAGCACAATTATATTTGACAAAGAAGCCTTCTTCTTCAAGTACCAGTTATAAAAAAGCATATATTTAAAGTGGTCAGCTAGGAAACCAGCTTTACATGCTCAAAACGTACATTGATATTTCATACAATCCTTTACAGTGGCCGGTTAATTAATATATACTAAAGTTTTGAAAGTACTTGAAAGTCAATTTGTCTAATCTATATGTAGCTAAATCGACATTTATAAACACCACTAATCGACACTAAAACTAAACTAATTTAATTTTACAAGATGGCTTCCTGAGTAAGTATGTGCATCGAGGTGTTGTAATAATCATCCTCGTGCACTTGCAGCTGAGAGCTATATATAAAATGGATTGAAAAGGACGCATGCAGTTCGAGCACCATGATTGGGTCTAAGGCTTCCGAAGGGCGCCTCTTAATTGGAGCCACCTTATGACTCATGTCTGACCACGGAGAACAGCTGCGGTGAAAGGGCCAGTTGCCAAACCCATGCACCTTGTCAACATTCCCGGTGCCCGCGGTATAGGAAATTGGAGTACCCGAAGAAAACCCACGACTTTCGCTATATCACAGAATACTACGCAGAAGTCCATCTTCATTGGGTTTTTTTTCGTAAGCTCTATTCGTCATGATTCGTCACTCAGCAAGTACCGTAAACAGAAGCAGTCACCCCCCTGGACATGCGCCATTTTTAGTATTTCCAGGGGGTGACGGCTTCTGTTTACGGTACTTGCTGAGTGACGACACATGACGAATAGAGCTTACGCTAAAAACAATGGAGATGGACTTCTGTGTAGTATTCTGTGGCTATATAGAGCGTTGATTGAAATAAGTCCGCATGAGACAAACAAACCCACGCGTCTCAGAGGTAAAAGGCGGTTGCTCTGACGACTGAAGGAGAAAACTGGAAGCATTCTTGCCACAAACAACAGACAACTTGCATGTTAGACAAATTTTTTATCTAACCGATCTAGGCAAAAAAAAAGTAAATTCCCGTTGAGAACTTATTAAAATTAGTAAACTTGCAAAATTTGGTTGCGAAATGTTGTAAAGCTTGGAAAATATAGCCTTGCAAAGTTTGCGTATTTTCAGTATATTTGTATTACGTGCGGAAATTGTTACCATTCTTGAGCCGAAAATGATAACAATTTCCGCTCGTAATACAAATATACTGAAAGTATGCAAATTTTGCAAGGCTATATTTTCCAAGCTTTACAACATATCGCAGCCAAATTTTGCACTTTTACTAATTTCAGTATGTTCTTTTTAGCTGTGGCGTTTGATTCCCTTTTGTATGCTTAGATTAAAATTTAGTCTAACATGCAAGTTGTCCACTGAGATGAAATTGTCATCAAAGGCGCCAACACTGCACATTGTAGGAATTAAACATTTTTTATACAGAGATCAGTAGTGCACTTGTATGTATACTATACAATCCCATAACTATGCTGTACTATAAGTGTACTGTATAATGTTATCAGTCCTATTGGTAAATTAGACAGATTTAGTTCGAGGACACGCGTACGGACGTCAAAGACGACGTGAAAATGGCGTGCACATGCATGTATGGATATGCATGCCACGCCATTTTCACGTTGTCTTTGACGTCCGCGCGTCATCGATCTAAAGCTGCATGTCTATTGTTATACTGTACCACAAAGTGAATCAGAATTTTCTGAATAAGCTCGTCACAATTGAAAGGCAAATCATCTTCAAAGAATCTGAGACGGCGGGAGTTGCTCTGAAATTGTATCGCTAAAACTGCATGCATGCAGAGTACGTTGAAATACAATCTACTTTTTACTTCTACCGAGTGCTCACTTCTCAGAACTTTATAAGAGAAAAATAATTTAATTCAGCTTAGAGAATTAGATTTCACAGTTGCTCTTATGAATAGTTGTGACAGAAAGTTCACCTTAAAGTCTTGTAACGTGATATATATACATATATACATATACCCTTTAGCTGATCAGCTATAGAATGACCAGTAAACTTTTACTGTCAGCCAATAAAATGCGGATATTTGTATTTCGAAAAGCGACAAAAAGAGCAAATCATGGAGTTAAGTTCGAAGTCGGATTGAAATTTTGAAATCTGAAAACATGACACATTATATACTTTGATCATCATGAAATCGTACTGCGTTATATAAGCTAAAATAATAGCTCGCATAAGGGCACATCTTAATTTACTATTAGGATCTATTAGTGTATGTCAATTAATTTTTAACAGACTCGACTTCGTCACATTCGCCAACATCTTTACAAAGACTCAACAACAGCTGAGTTAATTAGTTTTTCATAATTCATGCTGTGTAAGTTTTTCAGTCATCCTTTTTGAGAAGTTAATATTTTAAAATTTTCATAATTAGTATATGTTTACAGTGCACCCCAAGGCTAAGTGCTCTTTTAGCCTAATTATACTGTTCATTAATCATAATTAAGCCAACTTAACAAAGGCAATTATATTATTTTGTAAGTTATACCTTGAAAAGAAGCCAAATGTTTCTTGTGAATATAACGTCGAAATTATTCCTATAATTGAAACCAAATTTTTCAAGTGCGTGCTTTAGGGGACAATGCTGGCCCCATGGTTCCATATATAAGCGTCCATAAAAGTATAGCTGTAGTTCAATTTCGGATTGCTATTGTGCTATAGTTCAGTAAATGTAATTTAAATTTGTATACTCAAAGCCTGAACATTGCAAAAATTATTAGAGTATTTTGACTCAAAAAAATTGAGTCGAAAATAATTTACCGACAGAGGGACTCAATATTTTGAGTAGAATTATGTGAATTATAGTAATTAAGTATCAAATTTACTCAATTTTCTGAACAAAGATTTACTTTACTAAAATTTTGTGAAAATTTTTTGTATGCATGGTTGGTAAATGGAATACATCAGAAGTTGAAAGAAGCCAAAGCAAAGAATATACACGACCACGCATTTAAAACGTACAATATGAGTAACATTATGTATAATTTATATATTGTATATTATATCATTATATCTAAGATGATCTAGTTATTCAGATCACAGTAAAATGCTACGCTTAATAGTTTACTATTTTCCATGAAGTCAGCGAGAATATAGGTTCTTACAGTTTGATCAGAATATTATAAGTTGACTATAATATTTGAAAAGAGTTAGAACTACACTTACACATGTACCTATATATTAGAACCGCCGTTTCCAATTAAATTTCAGGTTGAATTAGTTCTGATAAAGATGGGTGTCTAAACGGTAGGTATGAGACTGTATGTTTAATTTTACGGGAAATTTGTCATCTACAGTATATATATAGAATTAAACTCGTATATATAAGCTATAGTAACGGCTGGCACTCTACTATTAACCTAGCGTTATGAATACTTAACTTTACCAAAACATGGAGTTGCACGTATCATGACTGAGTAATTATCTATCAGTTGCCATCTTGTCAATTTGCTTTTGTTCACCTTAGAAACGTATTGTAATGTTTTGAGTTGAAAAATTGTTTATCTCAAACAATTGACAAAGATGGTTCCGTACGTTCATTTATTTATACAGCATACTTGCCAAGGTTAATGATATTTGTCATTAGTAAGAAACTTGGCCATTAGGAGTTTATGAAGAGTGATTGATAAATATTAATAAGTATTGCGAAGTGAGTGCAACAACCGAAAACTGAGGCTTGTGTCAACAAATGTTTGTTTCATGCTGCGCCTTTCTAGTATGGCACTCATTCAATCAACGTACTCAGAATAATTTTACGAAATTTAATTTTGGAGATACTCTCAAGGACAATTATAGAAACCTTAATATTTGTAATCAAACTTTTTCATAATATATTCGCACTCAGCTAACCCTCTAGAAATCATTATCAACTTAACTAACTTTATTTATAAATAAAGCAAGATTTTCGTATCTGCTTTCAGTTTTCAAGACCCAATTGATTGAAGATGTTACTATTATATATATATATATATATATATATATATATATATATATATATATATATATATATATATATATATATATGTATAATGTATAGTTTTTCGTTTTACCTCAAACAACCACAACAGTCTGTTTCATCCGTATAGGAATCATCAGGATGAAACAGACTATACGGATGAAACAGACTGTTGTGGTTTTTTGAGGTAAAACGAAAAACTTTATTACGCTCTATCTATATGGTATTGAGCACTGTTTGTGTTTCGTAAACCAAAATCTTAAGATATATATATATATATATATATATATATATATATATATATATATATATATATATATATATATATATATATATATATATATATATATATATATATACCCGCAACCTTCAATTACTGAATTACTAGATCGACGCTCTATGCCAACTGAGCTACACGGTCAGACGGTCATATATACCCTTAAAAAAGTAGTTTTCGTGCATGACCCTGTATGTTCGAAGTCAATTGATGTTTTAACATGCAATAGCGACGCCATGCATCTGGAATCGTGATGTATTGTGGTGTACAATAGCCATTCAAATACCACTTTGGTAAATTTACAGCATGGCATGATTATGTTCTTGTTGTTATTAGGCCGTTACAGATGGCGAGCGATGGCGACAGGAGTTCTCGTTGAAGTCAGGAACGTGAAACTACACTGACTGCGGCCGTTCTTGATTTCAATCAAGAACTGCTGTCGCCATCACTCGCCATGTATAATTAAGCTCCCTAATGAGAATGTTCGAATTCATCAAAAAATAAAAATATGTATTGCGATGGATTGATTAAAATACAGTCTTATTACAGATATATAGGCCCACGTAATACCTGAGAAACCATAAACCAAGCCTAATTTTTAAAGTATCCACGACGTAAACCTGCTGCTTAGTTGAAAATATTGTCTTCAGTCTATCATGCAGATATGCCACGAGCTCTCCTTAGTTTTACAAAGATTACAAAAGACATAAAGTTACTGCAGCATTGAAGCTTTAATACAGCACAAAGTGTTTGCAAGTGTTGGGTTGAGATTTCTATTGTTTGGTGGGCAAGTAATATGTACATGACCAATATTAGTAATTGCAGATAATCCTTTATTCAATCAATGAAATTATTGTTGGGAGGAATATTTAAATGAATATAATGACACCATAAAGAATACAAAATCATTAGCCTATTTCTTAGCCCATGAATTATGGCGTGTTAATATGGCTTTAACCATAATGACAACTGTATGCATGGAATTGAATATAGTTTTGTTGGCCATGGAAAATACTATGTTTAGGAGGCGTTGCTTGCAATTAAGTATTGTATAACTGATGCTTTATTGTGTATTTATTATTATAAAAGTGTGTTTGAAAGGGAATTAAGACATCCATTCATGTACGAATGAATCCATATTCCATAATCAGAATATATACTGCTGCAAAATATCGGGGCATATTAACCAGGATTGAACTTCGTTGCAAACTTGAATACTCTGTCTTGATTTCTTTCTTACATGCACAGGCAGTTACAATAAGCTCATCTGAAATACGGAAAACGCTCATCTGAGATTTGAAAACGCAATATTTTTCTGGGGGAGCATGCCCCAGACTCCCCTCGGTTGAGCCCTCTAAAAATATTTTGCTTCCGACGGCACCGCGTATAAATTATAAAGCATGCAGTATATGGGCAGGACTGACATATATATAGAAAACAGTATAAACAAATGTAACTGATTAGCTTCTTTCATAGTATGAGTTGTACATGCACATATATTATAAGACAAACTAATATTACTATAGTCAAAGATCATGATCATGACAGCCTCATTTACAGATTTAACCACTGACATCAATTTGTAACTGCATCGCAGCACGATTAATATATATAATTACAAAAGATAAGTATATATCTATCATTACTCCATTAATCATTATATATCAATTACTAGAATTTCTATAACATTGGGCCATTATTTGATATTTATCACAAATACGATTTTGGATTAAATTGTATAATAAAATATTTTCTCCACCCCTTTGTGTGAATATTTGGTTATTAGAATGCATTTCGGTAAAGGTATCTTCACAGACAGACAATTAATGCGCGACATTAACAATTGATATTGAAGGTTAATATTGAAGGGTTTTCGACTGCAAATTTTATACATTCATTTAGACTTCAATACATATTTATTTAGACCAGCTGCGAAAATGCAACTATGCCCTCGGCAAGAATCGAACTTGTGGCCCTGTGATTCCTGCTAGTCCAGTTATCGACCACAAAATCACACCCTGGAAATTTTATGTAATTATATATTTAACAAATATAAAACATTTTCCGTGTTGATGTACAGTTATATCAACACGTGTGGAAATTGGGAAAAAGAGAAATTGTGTGGAACATGACGCCCGAAGGGCGGAGTGTTTTCACACAATTTCGAGTTTTTCCAATTTCTACGAGTGTTGATATAACTATATATCAATACGGAAAAAAATTTATATTTGTTTTATAATATATATAGCACAAAGAAACATAAAGAAAGAAATTTTCCGACGTTTCCGTGTTGACATTGAGTTATATCATCACGGCTCTTAGCCAATCAGCGTTCAGAATTTACAAATGCTATATTATAAATATATATATATAATATATATATATATATATATATATATATATATATATATATATATATATATATATATATATATATATATATATATATATATATATATATATATATATATATACCATGGAGTGGTGCCATGGTAAGGTACATGGGTAAATATCGGGAGACAATGCATGATATTATAATAGCCTGCTTCAATTTCAAAATTCGTACGGCATTAAATGTATTTAATTTTTAATATCTGTCAAGATAGTATATGATTCAAGATAGTATATGATTAATGATCGCTGTCTGATCTGAAAGCTAGAATTTTTAAAGCCAGCATCTTGGTATTATATAGTGAGAAGATATTTTTAAGGTGTTTAACAAAACTAATAAAATTGGTGCAATATTTTATCAACACTTCCATTGCATCGACAGTAAATAATAGTGTTCTGGATGCACCTATTTGTAGCCATGCACTATCTGATCTTTTTCACATTAGTATATTTCATAATTTACTGCAGTTGGTCGTTATCTTTCATTCTTGGTTTCCAGTTGACGTCATGGCTGCCATGCTGGAGGAACGCTGTAACAAAAGGATATCACTAGCAGCCATTGAAATAATATAACTGGATGGTTACGTTCAGATAAACTGCCTATCTTTTTCTTGAAGCCAATTGTTGACCCCCAGACACGCGCGTGTCTGTGTTCTAAACCCGCGTGTTTATATCATGATTGACTGACTGAGCGCTCTTCGCATGCATTAAAAGACTCACGGGACTGACAAAGGGTTGGAGGTAGCGTGCAGTTATATTCATTTCAATGCTAGAAGTTATTATTTTGGAGCGTGTTTTCCTCCAACATGGACCAACTGTTTGTACATAATTTGGTAAATAATTTTGTGTAGAGTATGTGACCGAATTGCCATGGTATGTGACCTACCTAGCTAAGTTTTAGAATGATTTAAACAATGCCGCCATAGGAGGCCATATTGCAGATGTAACTGCTTGCCAGTTATTTATTGGGAAATTTTAAAAAAGAAGAAAGGTCACTGCATGTATGATGACTAAATTCTACCTAGGCAGTGCGTATATCCTTTCCCTCGAATAACCAGAAACTGGGGAAAACCTTTTCTAACATGTCAGCAACTTCACAGTATGAGTGATCTCACCAGTTGATAAGGTTAACAGTGGCTTCTCTTAAGCATTCCTGATACCCTATCCAGTAATAGTATTCAGACAGGTGGTCATGACCAGTGAGCTCTATATATATCTGGAGTAAGAACTCACGTTCAGAAAGTGAAAGCTAAGATAGTGCAAACTGACGTCCAGGGCCAGTCCCTTCCTATTGTTTTTGTCTGCGCGGTTGACACGAAGCTGCAAAATGTGTGCCGAAATTTTAGAGTGCCTAAAATCTATATTTTGTATGTACATTCTTGTTTTCTGATAGGTTTACTCGTTCTGTAGGTTAAGTTTAAATAATATGTGTAACAATTTAATTTGTTTTAACTTAGTCTCTGAAGATGTTGCAGTTACCACGAAACGTTGGACATGTAAACAAAATACTTTTTATAAAATCCATTTTTAAAATTTTATACTCATATATATAACGAACGAAAGAGATTCCCTGTAACTTTTTTACGTTACAGAATTCTTCAACCCACATACTCTGTGCCATGCGCCATCCTAGACATAACATTTTTCACTGCACAGTTGAGCATCTTCTCTCGCCAGGCCTCCCGTGCATTGAAATGCCCGGAATTTCCTGTTCCTCACAGCGGCATATTCTCGAACATGATGCATTTGCACCCTGTGCCTGGCAGGGCGTTTTTGTATAGTTTGCACAGTCATTACTTAACCCTTGTTTAGCAGATACATTTTAAACGCTGTGTATTATCTGGTGTTCCAGGGGCGCCAGAGAAGTGGGGGTGGGGAGGCAGAGGGCTAAACGCCTCTTCTGTCCTTTTGTTACAGGACAAGGGTGCAAGAGTGCCTTCTATGAAACTAAAATTGCCTTAACAATTAGTTAACAACACTGAATATGATACAAGGCAAATATAGCGCAATTCGTTACAGAATTTCCCCCAGAAAAAGCCAGACATCCGGTCATCGAACTTCAAAAATATAAAACTTTTCTAGGGGAGCACCCTTGGACCCCCATTTATATTCATTCGAGATGCCATTACTACCACGAAAATGGTCGAATGAAAAATTTTAGCATTGATTCTCCAATTCAGATATAATATCCTTTGACGCCTCAAATCTCAATCGATTGCTTTACGACATTCCTCAATAGATATATAAATTGTAAACCGCTCCCCTGTCATTCCGGCGACCATTGGTATTTCAAAAGTGGAAAAAGTTGTTATCATCTTGTAACAAGGTTGATGAGTACAACAGATTTGCAACAAGTTGTTCCAACAAATGTGTTATCATTTGCGCGTAACAAGTGGCTAACAAGTTGATGAAAGCAAGGTTGTATAGCAACTTGTAACGAACAGCCTGTGTTAGCCTTGTTGTAACAACTTTAGCAAGATTGTTACCGTCATGGACGTTGTAACACGGTGTACAACTAATTG